TAAGAAATCAAAGAAGACCACTATCAGGGTCATGTCAAAAGGATTCAGAAGTCAACCTGAAGAGGCTCTCACTAGCTGAAGATGAGACAATTTGAACATCAATAAAGTATTATCAGCAACAATTAAAACACATCCAATATATTTAAATCTCTGAGTTCATAATGATACTTAAAAACAAGGAAATGAACAAATTAACTGAAAACCAAAAAACCTCATTGGGCACCTGTAGAGAATGCCAGTGAACCAACTCAATATTTTGACAAAGAACCAAACATTTATCCTGACTTTCCTATCAAACTGTACTGACCTGGTAGTCGATGAGGGAAAGTTACTCATTATGGAACCACTGAAATTTACTAATGAAGAAGAAATACAGAATATATTAAACCATCTGTTCCTAATAGTGGGCCTATCTTCACACTCACAACAGTTTTATTGTTATTAGGATGTTTCATAAACCTCAATCATTCCAAGTTTTAGCCTTCCTGATATCACTCTTACTTCTAAGTCCCTTCTTTCCTCCCAAAAAATATTACTGAGTACCTACGGTTCTAGGTGCTGAGCATAAGCAGGAAATAAAGTCTCTACTTTCATGATGGTTACATTCTACTGGGTAAAACTGGACAATAAACAACAAAAGTAAATCTGTTGTTTGTTAGATGGTGAAAATAAAGCAACAAAGGAAAGATATATTTGCAGGGTTTGGGAGGGGTGATAGAGGAGTCTCTTTTAAATGGAATAATCTGGGAAAAGCTTCCTGAGAGGTGATTTTGGACCAGAGATTTGGAGGAATTGAGGAAGCAAACCATGCTGATATGGGGTTGGGGGTGGGGTGGGAGTGGAGCATTCTGAGCAGAAACAATGGTGGACGCAAAGGCACCAGGGCTGCTGTGTGCTTGGCTTGTTCAAGGAACTGTGGTCATAAGTTATATGCTTTAGTTACGTTTACGGTAGGCTAGGCTAAGCTATGATGTTTGGTAGGTTAGGTGTATCAAATGCATTTTCAACTTATGATATTTTCGACTTATGATGATTTTATTCGGACATAATACCAATGTAAGTTGAGGAAGATCTGTACATGTTTAATGCTGCAGCTGGGACGGTTAATAAGCAGTATTTTGCCAAAAACAAGGAAGATGTGGTTGTCATCTTACTTCATTTCCTCTTAAGCATGCAGTTTGAACTTTAACAATTCAGGATAATAAATAAGCCGTGATAATTTTAAGATTTTTCATTATTGCTGAAATTACAGATAAAATTGAATCTTTTAGCTAGCATTCCCTTTACATGAATTAATAAAACTTAATTCAAGACAACAATTTTGGATCCACCTGTGTAATTAGGACAGGCACACATGTGGCTGACAGAATCTCAACTCATTTACACGAACACTTTCATTCAGATACTTATTTTCAGATACTAATAGGAAAAAAAAGCCAATTTCTTCACTACTCTGCTCTTCACAAGTTCAAGTTTATAACATGTTCTGATCATGAGTATAAAAGTTACCTAGGAGAGTGGAGCACACCAATGCCTCAGGGTGATGTATAAAATATACATTTTATATACAAATGTATAAAATATTGTACTAGGAATGTATAAAGTACTGGATGAATGCTTTCATCAAGTAGTTATCTCAATGAAGATTCAGGAGAAGTAGAGATACATACCACAGTCTACACTCTTTTGAATTTCCAGGGAAGAGAGTTTTAACTCCCCTTTTTTTAATTTCATCTGATCATGTGTTCCAAGTTGGGTAAGGAGAAGAAAAGGGAGTGAACACTTCCGGAGGGCAGTGTTTTACAAACGCTTCTTACTGCAGTTCTTCAAAGTAGGCAAAATTATCCTCATTTGCATAGAAGAAAAAACTGAGGTCCAAAGTAATTTGCCTAAAACCAAGCAGCCAGTAAGTATAGAAAGGTAAGGACATGGTCTCGGTTGGATGCTGTCTCGTCTTGTATAAAATACAGACTCCACACCCATACCCTGCCTGCCAGCCTGCAGCCCATCTGCCTCCTCTCCCACATCACCTCCCAGGCACCATGTCATCTGGGCATACAGAGCTGCCGTTCTCCAGCTACACCAAGACAAACCCACCCCCACCTTCTGCAAGATTCCTCTGCCTGGAAAGCCCTCTTCCCGTTGTTGTGCACATGGCAACTCGTGCTCACATTTATGGTTTCCACTCAAAGGTTTTCTCCTTTGAGAACCTTTTCCTGGAATGCTCTTCAGCTGAGTTAACAGCTTCTTCCTCTCTATAATCAAGGCACTTTGCAAACTGGCTTAGGACCCAAAACTATGGTAATTGCTACCTGCTCCCGTGTAGGCCCAGCCACCCTCTGGACTGTAAGCTGCATGAGGGTAGAATTACACTATTCAATTTTATAAGCTAAGTCTACATGCCTCCAGGTAGCAGGTAAACAAAACAACGAATGAATAAAGGGAGGACACCAGAAGGAGTGAACCATCAGGCCTTGTCCTCCCACTAAGTAATATGTATAACATGTTCTGTTTGCTCAATTACCCTTAGACTTTCCCAGACACCATCCCTCTTCCTCAACCACTATCACCACCACTCACTGATTAGGTATAATACACATGCACATATTCTCATTTGATTCTCACAACACTCCTACACCATAATTTTGTTTCTTTTACACAGAGAAGGAAGCTGGTTTTCAGAGCCATTAAGTAACTCCCCAAGCTTACTTGTGAGCAGGGGAGGGGCAGGATGTGAAAGTCCATGCTCATTTCACCAAATCACTTTGCTTTCCTAATTGTAGCACATCTCAAACCAGTTAGGTTAACTGTATATTACCCAAAATGCGATGTCAGCACTTCACCTACTACTCTATTTTCCTTGTCAACTCATTACATCAAAATAATCTAGCATGTTAAAAGTTTGTGATTCTGGCTTCTTGTTTTAAAATACAAACCATGACTCACTATGCAATACATTCATTCACATAGGAATCAAAGAGTAAAAGGTTTTCTATTCTCAAGCCCTTGGCAAGTTGAAATAAATATGTTTAAAATGATTCACAATTATGTTATTTGCGACATGCAGATATAGTTCAGATTAGTTAGCTATCACACTGCCCCAAGTGTCTTTTTTTTTGTTTTGTTTTTAACATCTTTATTGGAGTATGACTGCTTTACAATGGTGTGTAGTTTCTGCTGTATAATCCCAAGTGTCTTAATGTTTGCTCAGCTGGTGATTTTTTTTTTTCTGTTTTTAACTTAAGAAAGCAATTCTGTCATCAGAAAATTTAACCGACTGGCTTCACTTCCTCTTTCAGGTCATTAGTGGAAGTATTAACTCAGGTCACAAGACAGAACCCAGGACACCCGCCTTATCAATTTCTCTCTAATCTGAGAAGCACACACTTCAGGAGACAGTAAAAGGCTATATTACTGTCTCTTTATCCCACTGATACTTTTGTATTTTATTGAGGTTTTAAACATATGCCATTATTCCTTTTCTTTTCACTACTGTTTTATGGATCATTTATTCATGTCTATGTGCCACGTGAAGGCTGGCAAGTTTGCCTGTGTCTCTTGTCTGCCTAAGCTAAAACCTGCTTGTACTTCATATTACAGTATATTTTTATTACACTTATTGATGATTCTGTAAGTAATCATAACTCAGAAACACAAATCAACTCCTAAATCAATAGGTGAACTGATGTGCTAAGAACCACCTTGTTTGAGGGGTCGTGTTAATTCACTCTGTTGTAGGTCCTGGATAAAGTGAAAAGGGAAAAAGATCAATCCTCTCCCTTTGTAGACATTCTGCTGCCCTTGAGTTCCAAAGTGTGGTGGAGCTGGGAGTTCAGGGCAACCTGGAAAGACCATCTCAAGAACAATACTGTCACTGGTTCCCCAGAACATCGAGGGTGAACCCAGGCTCTGTAACCGGCATACATATCCTTTGTGATCTGCCTCAGATCCTTGCCTCTCTCTCTTTCTCATTCTTTTCTCCAGCAAACCTTCCAAACCGTTCGTTTCTCCCAGTGTGATCTCTCAACTCGTAAAGTGGTTTCATCCTCTTCCCCTTCACATGTTGTTCCCATTGATGTCACATTTCTTCTCCTTTCTTGGCCCTTCACAATCCAGCTTGTGCCACCTCTTCTAGAAAGCACAGCGGGATCCCCAAGTCTGACTGCAGACGCTCCTCTTTCGGGGCCCCAATGGCACCTTATTATACACCTCTACTATCTCACAGGACACATCACATTGCATGGTCATTGTCATTTTAACTGACTATATTCTTCTATATTCTGCAGGGAGCTTGTGGCAGGGACCATATCTTGATTATGTTACCCTGGTACCGATAGTAGGAGCTAAAAATGCTAGTCAAATAAATTGTTTTTAACCTGGTGCATAGTAATATATACCATCACATGTTTTGGGTCTGTGGCTTCTACTTTTATAGTCTGATGACTAACATTCTCTCACTTTGGGTGTGTGTGTGTGCGTGCGTGTGTGTGTGTGTGTGTGTGTGTGTATTTAAGAAGAAGACATTGTCACAGTAATTGTATGCCAAGAAGGGAGCTGGTCCAGCTCCTTCAATTTCCCATCAGTCTAAATCTTTAAAACATTTTCTGTGTTGAGATTTAACATATTTCTGTAGCATTTCTTTGCTCCTTCCTGCTGGAAATCACCTCATTCCAATTTTTTCTAGGTCAGCTCTTCTGGAAAACTTGGGTTTTGTTGTTCTTTGTACACACCTAATTCATTAGCATTTTGTGTCAGTGGTCAATGGTGATTCCTTTTGTTATAGGTCTGAGAACATCTCAGATTTTCAGTTGTTGGGCACGTGCTCTTGTGGCTGAGGCTGCCAGCTGTCCATCAGTATGCATGTGCCCTTCTACAGTTTCCAGTCTCCCCTCAAAATAGGTGTGGCCATGGGACAAAGTTCTCTCCAGCAGCATGTGAGCACAGGTAACACGCACCATCTCCAGGCTTGGCCTAAAGCCTTTCTACATGTGCTCCTGCAGGCTCTGTCTCCTTTTGGGATGACTGGGATGTCCACATCTAGGGGACACTGGAGACATACCTAAGGACTGCAAAGCTGCTGTCAGCCTGGTCCATAAACAACTTGGAGGAAGAGCCATTCCAAAAACCTGGACACCTGCCCAGTACTATTTGGTGAGCAAAAACAAAACCAAAAAATGCTTCTTGGCTTAAGCCATGGAATTACGGAATTTGGGGTGTTTCTCTGTACCACAGCCTAGCCTAGGCTATTCTACCTAATATAGGCACGGCTTTAAGAAAAGGTTAGTTAAATGCCAAGATGCTAGAAACAATGTTGGAAGCAGGTTAAAGTCTATTAGTCCCATAGACAACTGTCAGCTATCCAAAGATATGTTATTTCCATTACTATTTTGATCATCAACAAGAATGTCATCAATAATATCAGGTAATTACTAAAGTGTTCAAAAATTCATTTTAGTGCCACTGAATTTTTAAAGAAATGTTTTAAAGCAACCATGGTGGGGTTGGGGGGAGTGTGCTAAGTGTTGGGGGTGGTGAATTTGAAAACACTGAAATTGCTGGAAAATTCTTCAGTGCTTTTTGTCATTAGAACTGAGAAGCCTTAGATGATGCTCTGGTGAACTTCTGATGCTCTTAGCCCAAGTTACCCAAACTAGCTCCCAAATGCTTAATATATGTTCCTTGGAATGGAAGAAAGTCATTTTTCATATTTTTATATAAAAGAGGTCTCTTGATATTTAGGGCTGGAAGATATTTGCTTGAAATGGTGAGGAAATTAGAAAGTAGGATATGTAAACAAAAAAGACATCCCTCATTAAAATGGTCCTTTTCTTTTTAAAATGCCTATAAATAATTGTCACTAAAATTCATTTCGGTCTCTGCTTTCTTTCAGGTATGCTCTGTGCTTCTATTCTTCCCTTCCTCTCCCCAAACTCCTTAATTTCAGCTTCTTCTTTTTTTTTTTTTTTACTATTTTACTGAGGTATAGCTGAGAGTGCAAAATATGAAGCTAATACCGCCATATACTTTTAAATATGTATATACCCACATGAGTACCACCCAGAACAATATATAGAACATTTTCAGCGCTCCAATAGGCTGCTTTGTGTTCCACTTTGGGCAATACCTCCTCAAAAATAGAATATTTTGACCTCTATCACCATGGATTAGTTTTCCCTGATTTTGAACTTCACATAAAGGCAAGCATATACTACATATTCTGTGATGTCTAGTTTCTTTCACTCAACTTCATGCTCATGAGATACATCCATATATTGCAATCTAGTAATAGTTAATTCTTTTTCATTGCTCTGTAGTATCCTAGTGAATGAATAACACCACAATTTATCCATCTTACTGCTGATGGACATTTGGTTTGTTTTCACTTTGGGGCTATTATGAATAACACTGCTATGAACATTCTTGTATATGCATTTTACATGAACACTCATTTTCCTTGGGTGTTTGCCCAGAAGTATACTATTTTTAGTAGATAACGCCAAATAGTTTTACAAAGTGCTTCTATCAGTTAACACTTCCACCACCATGTATAATAGTTCAAGTTGCTCCCTATCCTCATTAATATTTGTGACTGTCAGTCCTTCTAATTTTAGCCACTTGTTGTTTTTTTTTTTAATTTATTTATTGAATTTATTTGTTTCTGGCTGCGTTGCGTCTTCATTGCTGCACGCGGGGCTTTCTCTAGTTGCGGCGAGCGGGGGCTACTCTTTCTTGCGGTGCACGGGCTTCTCATTAGGTGGCTTCTCTTGTTGCCGAGTACAGGCTCTAGGTGCGCGAGCTTCAGTAGTTGTGGCACTCGGGCTCAGTAGTTGTGGCTCACGGGCTCTAGAGCACAGGCTCAGTAGTTGTGGCACACGGGCTTAGCTGCTCCGTGGCATGTGGGATCTTCCCAGACCAGGGCTCGAACCCATGTCCCCTGCATTGGCAAGAGGATTCTTAACTGTGCACCAGGGAAGCCCCATTTGGTGGATTTTTATTTTCACTTCCCTGAGGGTTAATAATGTAAATACCTTTGCATATTTGTATTGGTAATTTTGATAACTTCAAGTGCCTTTTCAGATTTTTTGCCCATTTTCAACTAGGTAGTTAATATTTTTCTTTTTGACTTGTATAACTTCTTTATATAACTTCTTTAAGTCCCTTTTTGGATATATGTATTGCAAATATCTTCTTCAGTCTTTATTTTTTCTCAATGGTATCTTTTAATGCATAGACTTTTTAAATTTTGATGAGGTGCAATTTATTATTTTCTTTTGTGGTTAAGTGCTTTCTGCATCCTGTTTCAAAACTCTTTGCCTCCCCCAAGGTCATTCAGATATTTACTTAGGTTTTGTTCTGAAATAGTTTTTTATTTTTGGACTTTAAGTCTATGATCTATCTCTCATTAATTTTTGTGATATGATATGAAGTAGGGGTCAGGTTTATTGTTTTCTATATGGATAGCTAGCTGTCTCAGCACCGTTTATTAAAAAGCCCATTATTTCCTCTAATTAATTGCAGTAATGCTTTTGACATAAATCAGGTGACCATATATGTGTGCATTTTTTATGGACTATTTAGTCTGTTCCATTGGTCTACTGAATTATTCTTTAGTCAAAACCATACTGTCTAAATTACTTTAGCTTTATAATAAGTCTTAATATCTAGAAATGTAAGTCTTCCAGCTTTGTTCTTGTTTTTTAAGATCACCTGGGCTATTCTATGTCTTTTGTATTTCTATATAAGTTTATAATCGTTCTGTGAATTTCCTATTGGGATTGGGATTGGTGTTGCAATTAAGATCAATTTGGAGAGTTAATGACATCTTAACAATGTAGAGTCTTCTGATCCATAAACATGGCATATCCCTCCCTTAATTTAAGTCTGCTTTAACTTTTCTAAGCAATGTTTTATAGTTTTAGTAAGGTAGTCTTGAATATCTTTGGTTAGATGTATTCTTAGGATTTTGTCATTTTCAGTTTTTAAATGTGGCTAAGAAAATAAGACAGTGCTTAATCAAGAAATGTGAGGCATTACTAGTATTCACATCACCTTGCTTAAGAGGTAAAAAGAGCACAACTCAAAGGCAAAATAAATATATAAGTATAGTGAAAACTACCTAGAAGATTAAATGTTAAAGTCTCATTTTCTAAAAGTTGAACATATCTGAGCGTAGCTGTTACTGAAGCAATGTTCTTTGAACCTACTTCTCTATTATCTAAATTAAAGTTACCACTAGCTACTTGCATAGCTTATGTTAGAAAAATTTAATGCTCCAGTCAAATTTCTTTCATTTGTTTTGCTGTGCTATTCCCTTCTTCATCCTCTTCTGGGCTTTCAAACATCTTACAACTCTGCCAGGAAAATCCTTGCTCTCTCCTTCCCCTTTTCACCTGGCTACTAACTATACTAACAGTCTTCAGCTTAAATCATAATATCTCTAAGAAGCCTATCCTGATCCACCAGACAAAATTAGGCATGCCTGCTATGTGCCTCAACAAAATCCTTCAGATCCTCTATCCTAGCACGAGACTCTGCATTTTGACTGTTCGATTATTGTCTGTCTCCCCTACTACACTATGAATTCTATGAAGACAAGGGTAGCAACAGCCTTATTCACATTTTATCTTTAGAGCCTTGAAGATAAAAGTATCTGGCATATATTAATTGCTTGATAAATACTTGAAGGAATTACCATGAAATCTGGGCAGAGCAGAAGAATGGACTCTTTTCTTTTCCTCCTTGAAAACTGGAGTAAATAGAGACCAACCACTAGGCTGTCCCAAAGTGAAATCATTAACAAAATTCTCATTTTTTTAATGAGAATGTCCCTGAAATTTTGGTATGGTTATTATACTTCTTCCTAATTTTTATTGTTGGTAAAACATAAAGTAATGAAAAAATGAATTAAAGGATTACATTGAAAGAAGACCATTCTTCCAGAATAACCAGCAGATGTAGTATTCAGGATTTATCCTATTTTTAGAAATGTTTTATCTTTAAAAATATTATTTTTGTTTGGTGTGTTATGACTCAATTTTTTTACTTTGTGTTATATAGCTCCTTTTGAGAGAAACCCACTGTCACCGCAAGGTTGGCAAGGTAAACGAGAATCCCTACAAGGGAGATCATATCTCTGGATGGTTTATCCCTGCCTGCGTCACCACTCATGTCTTCAAGAAATAGCCCCCCAAATAACAACAGTGGCATGTACAGGGACTTGCAGTGACATTTCCCTAATTTTCCAATGTGCACTGAAGATACACTAGACCCTCTAACCATAGCTTTCCTAAAACCTTGAAAGGGGAAACAGAGAAAAGAAGCTACAACTGAACAGACTGATTTAAAAGATTGAGTTTGGTTTTTTCAGCTCTTGGTCTCCTATGGGGAATTAAGGAAGATCAGTTTAGCAGCCATCAAACAGAAACTGAATAAAGGAGGCAAGAATATACAGTGGAGAAAAGACAGCCTCTTCAATAAGTGGTGCTGGGAAAACTGGACAGCTACATGTAAAAGAATGAAATTAGAACACTCCCTGACACCATACACAAAAATAAACTCAAAATGGATTAAAGACCTAAATGTAAGGCCAGACACCATCAAACTCTTAGAGGAAAACATAGGCAGAACACTCTATGGCATAAATCACAGCAAGATCCTTTTTGACCCACCTCTTAGAGAAATGGAAATAAAAACAAAAATAAACAAGTGGGACCTAATGAAACTTAAAAGCTTTTGCACAGCAAAGGAAACCATAAACAAGACGAAAAGACAACCCTCAGAATGGGAGAAAATATTTGCAAATGAAGCAACTGAAAAGGATTAATCTCCAAAATTTACAAGCAGCTCATGCAGCTCAATATCAAAAAAACAAATAACCCAATCCAAAAATGGGCAGAAGACCTAAATAGACATTTCTCCAAAGAAGATATATAGATTGCCAACAAACACATGAAAGAATGCTCAACATCACTAATCATCAGAGAAATGCAAATCAAAACTACAATGAGATATCATCTCACACCGGTCAGAATGGCCATCATCAAAAAATCTAAAAACAATAAATGCTGGAGAGGGTGTGGAGAAAAGGGACCCCTCTTGCACTGTTGGTGGGAATGTAAATTGATACACCCATTGTGGAGAACAGTATGGAGGTTCCTTAAAAAACTACAAATAGAACTACCATACGACCCAGCAATCCCACTACAGGGCATATACTCTGAGAAAACCATAATTCAGAATGAGTCATGTACTACAATGTTCACTGCAGCTCTATTTACAATAGCCAGGACATGCAAAGAACCTAAGTGTCCATCGACAGATGAATGGATAAAGATGTGGCCCATATATACAATGGAATATTACTCAGCCATAAAAAGAAACGAAATTGAGTTATTTGTAGTGAGGTGGATGGACTTGGAGTCTGTCATACAGAGTGAGGCAAGTCAGAAAGAGAAAAACAAATACCGTATGCTAACACATATATATGGAATCTAAGAAAAAAAAAGTCATGAAGAACCTAGGGGTAAGACGGGAATAAAGACACAGACCTACTAGAGAATGGACTTGAGGATATGGGGAGGGGGAAGGGTAAGCTGTGACAAAGTGAGAGAGTGGCATGGACATATATATACTACCAAATGTAAAATAGATAGCTAGTGGGAAGCAGCCGCATAGCAGAGGGAGATCAGCTCGGTGCTTTGTGACCACCTAGACGGGTGGGATAGGGAGCGTGGGAGGGAGGGAGATGCAAGAGGGAAGAGATATGGGAACATATGCATATGTATAACTGATTCACTTTGTTACAAAGCAGAAACTAACACACCATTGTAAAGCAATTATACCCCAATAAAGATGTTAAAAAAAAAACTGCAAACAGTAAATGCTGGAGAGGGTGCGGAGAAAAGCGAACCCTCTTGCACTATTGGTGGGAATGTAAATTGATACAGACACTATGGAGAACAGGATGGAGGTTCCTTAAAAAACTAAAAATAGAATTACCATATGACCCAGGAATCCCACTACTGGGCATATACCCTGAGAAAACCAGAATTCAAAAAGAGTCATGTACAAAAATGTTCATTGCAGCTCTATTTACAATAGCCAGGACACGGAAGCAACCTAAGTGTCCATCGACAGATGAATGGATAAAGAAGATGTGGCACATATATACAATGGAATATTACCCAGCCATAAAAAGAAACGAAATTGAGTTATTCGTAGTGAGGTGGATGGAGCAAGAGTCTGTCATACAGAGTGAAGTAAGTCAGAAAGAAAAAAACAAATACCGTATGCTAACACATATGTATGGAATCTAAAAAAAAAAGAAATGGTCATGAAGATTCTAGGGACAAGACGGGAATAAAGACGCAGACCTACTAGAGAATGGACTTGAGGACATGGGGAGGGGGAAGGGTAAGCTGGTACAAAGTGAGAGAGTGGCATGGACATATATACACTACCAAATGTAAAATAGATAGCTAGTGGGAAGCAGCCGCATAGCACAGAGAGATCAGCTCGGTGCTTTGTGACCACCTAGAGGGGTGGGATAGGGAGGGTGGGAGGGAGATGCAGGAGGGAGGAGATATGGGGATATATGTATATGTATAGCTGATTCACTTTGTTATAAAGCAGAAACTAACACACCATTGTAAAGCAATTATACTCCAATAAAGATGTTTAAAAAATGAAACAAAACATAGACTGAATCTAAATTTCCCTGTGCTCCTAAAAGTCCTTACCCAAGAAAGTGAAGATTATATCTTGACTGTTTAGCATCATTCTGAAAACCCTCTTCCCTGTATATTTGTTCCCTTAAAGGCTATTCTACCCTCCTCTTCCCTCCCTTCCCCCTCATTTATAGCATCTACAGCTGTGGTTCTACCCTGCAGCTTGAACAGCATAGCCATATCAGAATACAGCCCAACGAAAGATACACACATACTGATGTGTGTGTTGGGGGGTGGAGTTTGTAGAGGGGGGTAGTTTTGGTAGAATTCTATGTATTCAGTTAACAAATAGTTATTAAAACTCCTGGTAGGGCTTCCCTGGTGGCGCAGTGGTTGAGAGTCCGCCTGCCGATGCAGGGGACACGGGTTCGTGCCCCAGTCCGGGAAGATCCCACATGCCGCGGAGTGGCTGGGCCCGTGAGCCATGGCCGCTGAGCCTGCGCGTCCGGAGCCTGTGCTCCGCGGCGGGAGAGGCCACAGTGGTGAGAGGCCCGCGTACCGCAAAGGAAAAAAAAAAACAAAAAACTCCTGTCAGTGTGGTGAAGCGGAAAGGGCATCTGATAGGTCTGAATTCTATGCATGGATCAGAAACTTCCTAGCTTTACAACACTGGACAAGTTATTTAACATTTCTGAGATCCTGCTATTAGAGGTAAAGAATAATGAGATAAATAACAGAGAGAATGGATATCAGATCTTTCTTTAAAACTGTGATACATAATGCTGTTATTAGGAGTTACGTGCAAGGTCCTGTGTTTAGCACAATGGAGGTCCACTATGTATCTGCTCACTTTGTGTCTCTGTGTCACATTTTGGTAATTCTCACAATATTTCAAACTTTTTCATTGTTATTGTATCTGTTATGGTGATCTGTGATCAGTGATCTTTGATGTTACTACTACGATTTGCTGAAAGCTCAGATGATAGTAAGCATTTTTTTTAACAATAATGTATTTTTTAGTTAAGATATGCACATTGTTTCTTTAGACATCATGCTATTGCACACTTAACAGACTACAGTATGGCAGAAACATAACTTTTACATGCACTGAGAAACCAAAAAAATGCATGCAACTAACTTTACTGCAATATTCGCTTTATTGCTGTGGTCTGGAACTGAACTCGCAATATCTCTGAGGGTCTGCCTGTACATTAAGGCCTGGTGCCATTTCTAGGCTCCAAGAGGACTAGAGAAAGGGCACGCATGCTGCCTTGAGCTCCAGCTGTACCTTTTATCGGTAAGATGCAATGTGCTCAATGGTGAAAGGGCTCCACTCTACTTTGAAATAATAGCTGAATTTATATCATGGTTTGTTTGGTTAAGAGGTGAAATAGAGCAGAAAAAAGGAAATTTGCTTTAATCATGCTCCTTGGGGGAATATATCACAATATAAAACTCACACGATAGCTTTCTCTCTTCCCAGGCTACTGATAAATAATGCCTTTAGAATACATTTAGGTTTGGAGAAATAAATCATACTTGAATATATTTAAAACCTAATGACCTACTGTGGATTAAATACCTATTGTGCGTTAAACATACACCCAGGAGTACAAAGAAGATAAAGTTACCTCGGAGGCAGAGGAGAGAGACCTACAAACCATCTGTAACATTATTTTAAACTAAATATGTTTAACATTTGGAAGAAAATGAAAAGAAAAAGAGATAAATGAAAATAGTTCTATCCTTCTTCGGTTAAAAAAATAGAAAAAGCTCAAATTCAAACAATACTATGAGGCAGTTAAAATTGGTATTTTAAATAAAACTCAACTTTAACCCTAATCTTTTAAGAATTATAACTGAATATATGCATGTACCTAATGTCAAAAACACAGAGCAGACTTATGAAACTCTGAATCAAATGATCTATCATGCATCTATCTATTCATTGATGAATGATTATGCTTATGTAATGGTTCCCAAAATGTACTTTCTGCAGCAGCAACATCAGGACCACCTGCGAGCTTATTAGAAATGTAATTCTTGGGCTCGATTAGTGGACATTTGGTCCTGTCCAAAATGTGCATTGAGACATTTGGTCAATACCAAAAGGTCCTTGACACTTGGTCCTCCCCAGAATCCATGAGCTTATTTGGTCCATGCCAAATGGTCCTTGATATTTGTTCCTTTCAAAATTGTTCATGCTTAGAAAATGTCCTGGGGTTCAAATAACCCATAATGTTTGCTTATACTTTTGATTTATAGGATTAATACATAAAAAATACTATCGCATGTTTTATTGGTCCAAAAATTGTGCTGTGGCTGTATTAACAGTAATAACCCTTCTTGCCTCAGTAGCCTAGCTGGTAATAGAACATGGAATTAGATAGACGGGTCAAGGTTCAAATTTTGCAGAAGAGTGGGATTTATATTAACTATGCCTACGGAGGAAGAGTCCTACAGTTAGAGAAACACAGAGGACAAGTGGAGGGTGAGATCTCATGATGCATGGTGCATTAATATGTCACTGGGCATTTGGCGGAATGTGGCTGGGTTGTTCTATAAGTGTGAAGTTTGAAAGGAGGAGCTTGGTTAAGCCACTATGTAAAATGGGGATCGAATGTGGTGATGTAAACACTTTACAGAGTATCTTGCTTGTTTGGAAGGAATGAGAATATATGTGGCTCTCCTACCACATAGTGGTCAGGTGTAAAAGCCACCATGAGGGGGGATACCAGGCATTTAATTAGCCCCACTACAACTATCCCATTGCCCAGGATTAATGGGCAATGTTTCCCTTGAATCAAGGTCATATAGAGGTACGATCTTGGTAGACAGCAAGAAGCATCTGCCACTATTTGGAGAGATTTTAGTGGGTGTGACTCTCATAACTTACCTGCCAATCAGCATGGAGCACCACACCTTGGGCTGATGCCTGTCTACTGGCTAACCCAGCCAGACTGAACTGGGTACTGAATCCGTAAGACATTAGTAAGGTTTCCCCTATCATTAAACCAGTGACCACTGCTCAGAAGTCTACAAAAGAAAAAAAAAAAAAAAAAAAACTTCTTCTGTTGCTTGGCAATGTGACATCTTTATTTGAAAATTCTCAGCAGAATATTATACTCACAAAAAGAAAAGCCAATGCTACATAATAATGGCTTTTGTTACCATCTCCATTCCTTTAACAGAGATAGGAGTAAAAGGTACTGGTGCTGTGAAGAGAGGAGAATCTGCATGGACAAGTGGTCAGGATTTGGATAATGTAATCATTCAAGATGGGACAGGAAAACATCAACACCACTTTGGTGATGTTGAAGGGGAAGTAAGGAAAACCCTGTAGGTTAAAATGACACACAGAGAAGAACCAAATGCAACACCATCACAGCTACTTTGAAGAATTCTCTGTGATATTCATGATAAAGAAGTCTTGTTAATGCTACCAGTAAGAAACTCATTAACGAGGCAAGTAAATAAACAGAACTCAAAACAGACATCAGCCTCCAAACCCAACTTCACTGCATGTAAATGAAATTCCAGAGGAGTATAAAGTGATCAGATGGGGAGAATCAGTTCTTATGCACAATTCCATTGCTCGAGATGATGACAGAATCCTATTTACACAACTCATGATAATATTTGATATTTAAGTGCCAGTACCACAATGTTCAGTGACAGCACCTTCAAGATGGCACCAACATCATTCAATTGTCTACTGTGCACAGTGTGCTATTGGGTTATATTATGCTGTTGATTTATGTACTAACAATGAAAAGGCAAGAGACACTTACAGATATACATGAGGAAGTACCTGCATTTGCATGAAAGAGAAATCCTGACATTAACCCTTCACTGTGCATGATAGATTTCGAGTTTGCAAATATGAATGCAATTTGACTACTACTATCAAGTGCACGAATAAAAGGATGCTTATTTCACTTTTCACAATCTTGAAAAATACCTTCTCTGAGTCTAACGCATGATATGCGACAATGAAAGGTAACACCTGTCTAAGCGTGCACCATTTGGGCCTTTGAAAAACTTAAATGAAACTTTTGAGTACATTGTGGAGAATGCAAAGAAAATTTAGATGACCTAATGGCTTAAGCTGAGAGAGTGTACGTCTGTGGAAGGCTTGGCAGCGGCAGAGTAAGACCAGACGCTCCAAGATTTCCACCAGAAACTTGGAATGTTTACACATCAGTATTGAACAGTGATCACAGGACAAACAATGCAGCAGAAGGCTAGCACTGTAAATTTCAAAAGCCGACAGTAGTATATTGTCCTTCAATTTGGAGCCTCATTCAAGTGTTAAGAGACAGACAGGAAAGCGATGAACAAGCTATCACCCAGGTTTTTGGTGATCACACTCAAATATGGCCACCAACTTCACCATGATACCAATAAAACCAAATGCATATAACTGAAATTGTTAACAGATAAGGTCAATTATCAGGTTCACATATACTTGAGAGCAATTGCTCATCAACTTAAGAGTAAGCCTGCCAAACATCACGACGAGGAAGAATAAGAATAAATGTGAATTTATTACACATTTCATCATGAATTACAATAAAAATAATGTAAATACAATTTTAACAAAGTTGAGTATTTGTATTATTTAATGAATCATGGCCCAAATGTCTCCCTGGATGTTTTGGACAGGAACAAATACCAAGAACCTTTTGGCATGGACCAAATGTCTCAATAGACGTTTTGGATGGAACCAAATGTCCCGCAAGGCTCCGGTCCCACCCAGACCTACTGAATCAGAAAACACGATGGGGTTTGGCTATATGTTTTAACAAGTCTTCCAGGTGATTGATTGTGCTGCATGTTAATGTTTGAGAACCAGCCTCCTGGAGTGAAAATGTTAACAGCATGCTCTTTGAAGTCAGAGAAATTTGGGTTCAAATACTGCACTTAGACTTACTGTCTCTGTGACTTGGAACAAGTCATTTAACCCAAGCATCAATTTCCGATTTAGTAAACACGGTGGCAAAGTAGAGACATGGTACCTTTCAGGGTTATTGTTAGGATTAAATGAGGAAATATATACAGATGAGATCTATAGTGTATGTACCTCAAATACACAGTGCTTGCTGCAGAGTAAGCACTCAGTAACTGACGTCTGTTATTTTTCCAGGCACGGAAGACCTTGTGTTCAATATTGCAGGAAACACTGTGCTAATCAGACACGACTTCTTTCTTCAGTCTGGAAAAGGAGCTACAGTAGCTTACAAATAATCATGATACAAAGTAGAAAGTGTTAGTTGGCAATTGAGTGGGTCCCTCACCATGGTGCCAGGCAGTTTCTTATATTAAAGACACCCTAATGGAACTTGATGGAATTGGGATTCGAAAACTAGTATCTAAAACGTTCCTGAGATGTTTTGTTATTTACATGAAAAGAAAACTTTTTGAGGCATCATTTCCTCTTATAATTACCAAACTGCTTTCATAAGTACAAAATAAATAGAATACCTAATTCCTATAATACTTTTGAGGAAAAGGTATTCATGTATAAGAGAGTATAAAAAAGACTGACAATTTCATAACACATAATGACATGTTTATTTGGTTTCTAAGTCTCATCATTTCTACCCTGGAACTCTCTCATCTATTTCCTCCTTTCCACTCTTGTAGCAACCCACACAGACCTACCAAAATAATCTTCCCCCAAAACTACTTTACCACAATCACCTCCTTGCTTAGGAACCTTCATAATGACATCATTTTCATGACGTCAGATACAAAGTTACAGAGTCAAGATTCAAACCGGAACAACTATATCCTATCACCTTTTGGAATCACCATCACTGATACTATTTTTAATAGTGAGTGTGGGGTAAGGGTGGTAGCCTGGCAGCGATTTTTGGTAGAAGTAGTTCAGGGATTATAAATATAGGAGGGCAGGAGGTGGCTGGGCCTTAAGAACCATTTTGGGGGTGAAGAAGTTTTTTTAAATGTGGAAATACCACAGTTACTGGCAACCCAAGGGGTCAGGGCAGGGAAGCCTCCGGGGAGAGGAAGAGAGAGCCTTTTAGGATGTGGCTCACCAGGGCTGGGAAGAAGGCAGCATTCAGGGCAGAACTCAGGGGAAGCAAGTCTATGGTTTGACAGGAACATCACCTGTGTTCCATCTCTCAGTTGTACAAAGAGGAGGCAAAGACCCGCCCCGGAAAGGCCAAGGGACTAAGCCGAACTTTTAGAACAGCGGATGCAGAAGCCATGCTTCCCAGTGAACCAGCCTTGATAACCGGGGAGAGGAGAGAGTTAAAGCAGAAACCAAGGTAGGAAAAAACGAGGGAGGCACCCCTCTTTGAGGAAGTCTTCATCGATTCAGATGCCACCCTCCTGTGGGCCTTCAAGTGAAATAGGATCCTCCTGAGCTTTCATAATATCCAGTGATCATCTCATAGCACTTATGTTGCAAGCATTTGCTTAGACATTTGTCTCCCCCACTCAACACTAAACTCCTCGAGAGCTAGTTTCTGTATTATTTGACTGTATCCCTAACCCTTAGCCCAGAGCCTGGCACAAAGCAGGTGCCCTGAGTAAAATGCCAGTGAGTGCATGAATGAATGAATGAATGAAATGAGGGTAGAGCTCTGGAAGGACGCTTATAACTCATGTAGTCCGAGCCTATTGTTTTGCAGAGAGGTTAAAGGGCTTGCAAGGCCCTTTAGTGCTAGAGGTGCGGGGTTTAGTGCTAGAGTTGTTCCCGGAACCCAGAACATGCGGCCACCCTTCCTCCTCCTTGCCCTGCTGGGATCATGGAGACAGCTCTCACAGACGTTCTAATGTTTGTTGGCTCCTTGTTGGGAATGCACAATACATTTTCCCATGGAGACAGGTTTTTTCTTTTTCTTCTTTTTTTTTCTAATGGTGGTTCAGTTCCCAGGCCAGGCCACAAAAGCCTATTTACCCTATAGCTCAGCTCAACTATAAAACCAGCGGTAGCTTTGAGGCCTCACTGAACCCCCAGCTCCGAGCCCACAGTCTGGGGGGCAGGTGGGCAGCTGGCTCTGTAGGGGGGAAGGCAGAGCTCCCTTGAGCAGACCAGGAGCCTGGGGTGGGGGCTACGCAGGGGGGCTGGGCAGGGGGCCCGGGCAGCAGCTGCATTAGGCTAGGCAGCCTCTGAATGCCTTGGTGGTTCTTAAGTGGATTGTTTGTAAGTTGGGAACTGTCTGTACTTAGAAAGGCGGATTTCAAGAGGTAGGGGATCCTATTTCACTTGAAGGCCCACAGTAATGAGGGTTCTTTATTCGTAATGAAGTAGCCACTAATTGGAGGGACAGGCTCAGGAGGCCTGCCGGAATTTTGTACTCCTGGACCAGAACTGAGTAATATTATGCAGTAGCCTGGCAACCCCTCACTTCTGCATAAAATTCATATAAAAATCTACCATGAAGTGCCTATTTGACATTCACTGTGTTTATTATTAATAATGATAATAACAGGGTGGCTTATATACAGCATTAAGCTGAGAAAGTGAATGAATTCTCACTTTCCTCAAGTTTTCCCCCTCCGGCCAGATTAGGAACATTTGGAAAATCCTTACACTCAGAGTGGGCTGAAAACTTTCATAGTTACCCTGAGGAGACATGGCTCCAGTTTCTAAGGGCTCGTCCAAGAGATGATCTCTTTCCTTCCTTCAACTCCTCAGAGGCAGAAACCTTCCATAAACTCATGAATGTTGTAAAAGCAAATGTACAAAAAAAAGCAAATGTACAAAAAAAAAATAGTGTCAATGGAACTGAAAAAGTTACAGTAGGTGAATCAATTATAACAAGGTAATAGTGTTAGCCTTTCTGGACTTAATGAAATGTAATCAACTCCACTGGAATGTTCTGGTGCCCCCTGGAGGATCCTAAAACCTACCAAAACTGGTTATTTAGTACCTTTCTTCAGAGGCCTTAGAAAATCCTACAGAGGCAATGTGTTTCTTCTCCCAGGCTCAGATCAACTTAACCTGACTCAATCACACACAGGGGGACAGAGCAGGAACTAAACCTAACATTTAAAAGGTTTTACCCATCGTAAGTTTATCATTAGACTGCAGGTTTTTGGATCAACGACAGAATCTATTTTTGGTCTGTAAAGTTTATAAATCTGACAATGCAAAGTTCACAGCTACACGTGCATCTCTCAGTTCTTCTGGGCTGACTGTTTAGTGAACAAGGAAGTTTGCTTCTGTGAACCTTGCTTTGATTTGCACAGGCATTCTGGAAAGTTAAACATTTAGCTTCTAAAATTTTACTGCACTGGCGTTCCTCAAGGACGTGACTCCAGTATGATTATGACTACACGGCCATCAGAGTTGTTTATTCCATAGCCACAGAGCAGTCAGCAGATGTGAGGAACCATTGTCTGACTTCAGTAAGCTCCAATAATAATAAGCTCCAATAATCTAACAGGATTATAGCTGCCCATCTGCCCTCCCCACATCCAATTTATATGAGAGTGACTGAAGTTACTATCTTGGTGCATAATGTGACTGATACCCGCCAGCCTTAGATCATTACATCTGAAAGACACAGACCAGGTTTCACTAAATTTGCAAAGACTCATGCTGGTACTTTATTGTGACTAATACAATAATGGTTACAATAAAAATACAATATTATACGTAGAATTAATATAAACTTCTGCTGTCACTTTTTTCAGTGCCATTCCATCGTACTATACTGAATGCTTAATTTCTTAATTTGAATATTATATAGGAGTGTATGTATTCAAACCATGAAATCATCAAATGTAATTTCAGACTTTCAGAAAAGCTGCAAGAATTCTTTGTATTCCTAGATACACTTCACCTAGATTCTCATAATGCCAACATTTACTACAGTCTTTTCTTTTTCTAAATGCACGTGAACACACATATTTTTTTCCCAAACTGTTTAAGTTGTGAATATAATGTTCTTTTATTCCTAAATATTTCAATGTGTATGTCCTTAAAATAAGGAATCCTCTTATGTAAACAGTATAATTATCAAAATCAGGAAATTACCATTGAAATAATGTTATCTAATCTACAAAACCTCACTGAGATTTTATCAACTGTCCCACTAATATTTCTTATAGCAAAAGAAAATCTAGAATTACACACTGCATTCAGTTGTTATGATGTTTCAGTCTCCTTTAATCTGACGGTTCCTGAGTTTGTTCTTGTACAGGCCAGGTATTTTACAGACTGTCCCACATTTTGGATTGTCCTTTGTGTCGTCATGGTTAGATTAACGTTATGTGCTTCTGGCAGCATAATATATATGGGATTCTGGCTTTTTCTCTACAAAACATACTTGGAAACACTATTGATCGGTCCCATTAATAGTAGTGTTAACTTTAATCTTTTGGTTAAGGTGCTATTGGCAGGTTTCTCCACTTAGAGTTACCATTTTACCCTTTGTGAATAAAAAGCAGCTTGCAGGGATATACTTGAAGACGATGTAAATATTCTGTTCTCAAACTTTCATCTATTAGTTTTAGCATTCATGGATGATTCTCTCCTGTATCAATTATATTTATGATGGCTTGGCAAAAGGTGATTTTCTAATTCCATCATTCCTTCTACATTTATTAGTGCATTTTCTACTAAAGTTTTCCCTTCTTCCTTATTTATTTGTTTACTTGTTTGTTTATATCAGTGTAGCTCATGGATCCTTACTTTATTCAATAGTATTAAATTTACTATTATTATTTATTTAAATTAGTTTAATGATTACATCATCCCAGATTGGCCAATGGGAGTCCCTTAAAGCTGGTTCCTCTGTCATTCTGACACGTCCCTATCATTCTTTAAACACATTCTTACTTTGGGGCATAACAAGGTGTTCTAGTTCTTTACCTGCCCCAATCCTGAATTCAGCCATTTCTCCACGGAGCTCTATATACCTCATTCCCTACTTTCTTTTAGTGGAGAATTTGGGTATATAGAAACCTAGATCTTGGCTGTAGGTATGCTCACTGCTACTGGAGTGAAATTGCTTCAAGGCCTTCTCAGAGGACAGAGCTGGGGAATGTTTATACATACATATAAACAAATATGTGCATATACACATGCACTCATGTGTACAATACACATTATAATCCATGCAGACTTATATCCAGTTACATAAATATGTATGTGTATATGTATGTTCATGTATGTGTTAGAACCCATGACTTCACACCTATATCTCCAATTTCAGTCCAATAATGCAGAGTTCATTCTATTTTTTTCTTTTACCCTGATTGTAGCTTCCTTCTCTCGAAGTGCAAAACCTGACTGCTCAATCCTAGAACATACAAAAAATGACTTCAGAATTGCTAACCTACGCTTCTGCAGAAAGAGAGGTCTGCTAACCAGAGTTCAACATTTACTTAGAGTTATTATGTTTTTAGCCTGAGAGCATGTTGTCATACTACTGCATTCAAAGCTACTTGGGTTTGCTTCCCCCCACCTTCTTCAGTGTGATTATATTATTTATATGAAATGTAATTTTTTTCTTATCCTCTGTTTGATCAAATCTATTTTTATCTTTCAGAGATGTTTTACAGTTCTCCTTATAAAGACGTTACATATTTCATGTTAAATTTATTCTTAAATATTTTATCTTCTTTATTGCTATTGTAAATACACTTTTCTCTACCTTTGTATATTCTTTTATAGCTTGCTGATTTCTGAAATCTCTTATTTATTTATTTTTAAATATAAATTTATTTATTTATTTATTTTTGGCTGCATTGGGTCTTTGTTGCTGCGGGCTTTCTCTAGTTGCGGCGAGCCGGGGCTACTCTTCGTTGCGGTGAGCAGGCTTCTTATTGTGGTGGCTTCTCTTGTTGCAGAGCACAGGCTCTAGGCACGCAGGCTTGAGTAGTTGTGGCACGCGGGCTTCAGTAGCGTGGCTCGTGGGCTCTAGAGCTCAGGCTCAGTAGTTGTGGCGCACGGGCTTAGTTGCTCCGCGGCATGTGGGATCATCCTGGACCAGGGCTCGAACCTATGTCCCCTGCATTAGCAGGCAGATTCTTAACCACTGCGCCACCAGGGAAGCCCATGAAATCTCTTATTATTTTGTTTGGTTTTACCATTGGTTTTTTAGGGTTTCCTAGGTCCATAATTATATTAATTATATCATCTTCAAATACAGATAGTTTCACTTTTCCAATTCTTATGTTGCTAATTGGTTTCTCATGCCTACTTGTACCAGCTAATATTTCTAGTACATTGTTGAATGGTAGTAAGACAATTGGTAACCTTGTTTTGCATCCAGTCTTAGTGGAAATAGTGCTAGTGTTTCTGCATTAAGCTGGCTTTAAAACTAATGCATGTTTGTACTTGATCATAAAACTATATGTTTTCAGAAAATATCCATCAATTCCTTTTCCTTGAGTGACTTTATCAGGAATGAGTGTTGAATATTGTAAAAGATTTTCAGAATCTATAATTATATGATTTTCTTCTTCAGATCTATTAACCGGGCCATTAAATTAATTGATTTCCTCATATTGAGCCATCCTTGTATTCCTGGGATAAATCCCACCTGGTCATGGTGTATTATTTTATTCATGTAGTATCAGATTCTATTCTCTAATATTTTATTTAGAAATTTTACATTAATATTCATAAGTGATACTGATCTATAATTTTTTGTACTGTTTCTATCAGGTTTAGTTATTGAACTTATACTTGCATAGTAAAAACAATTCAGAAAATTTCCTTCATTTACAATACTCTTGAACAATTTATGGAGCACTTATGGACTATTTGGTCTTTGAAGGTTTGGCATAATTTCCCTGTAAAATGTTCTGGTCCTGGTGCTTTTCTTGTGGGGTAGTTCCTTGATAACTTTTTCTATTTCTTCTAAGGAATTTTTCTGTATAAGCTATATCAAGTGAGATCAATTTTGGTAAACTAATTTCCTAGGAAATCATCCATTTCACTTAGGTTTTCAACTTTGCAGAAAGGTCTGAAACTCAGTTCTTATATTTCTAAATTCTTCTTATTCCAATAATTATCTCCCTTTGTGTATGTGTGCATTCTCCCTTTTTTCTTGACTTAGCTAGTGGCTTATCTAATTAATTTATTCATTAGATTTACTGTTTTTCTGTTCTCTACCTCAATTTCTATGTTATCTTTATGATTTCCTTCCTTTTGCTTTATTCTAGTTTACTTCTTATTCGTTTTCTAGCTTTGTAAATTGAGAATTTATTTATTGCCATCTTTAATTTTTATTCAGTGTTTAAGGCTTTGAATATTCCCTTGATCATTGCTTTATATGTATCCCACAGATTCTGGTATGTGGTATTTTTCATTATTATTTTCCAGAAATTTAATTTACATAGGATCTTTTTTTGGTGAATGTTTCCTGTGCACTTAAGAAGAAGGTGTATTTTCTATTGTCTGAGTATAAAGTGTAATATATATCCTTATTGATTATGCTGTTTAAATCTTCAGTATCTTTACTTTGTTTTTACTTGATTTGTCTTACGCTGAGAGGACTATGTTCAATTTTTTTATTAGTAGGTGTTTTTTATTCTGTGTATCCCTTTCATGTCTTGTAAATTTCGCTTTATAAAAGTGGCTGCTGAATAATTTAGTACATAATCTAAATGACATAAATGTTTTATCTCCATTGTGAATTGTGGCTTTTAGCATTAAAAAGTGGGGTTTTTTTTACACATAAAAGGCTTTTAAAACTTATATCAATATTGCTATATCTGCTTTCTTATTATTTCCACTTGCTTGGTATATCTTTGCTTATCCCTTTATTTTTAGCCTTTCTTAATAATTTTATTTTGGATATAGCATATAGTCGAGTCTTTCTTGGTGTGTCCCATGGAAAATCTTTTCTTTTTTTAGGTGAATTAAGCCTATTTACATTTATTGATAAGGCTGATATGTTTGGCCTCAACTCTGTCATATTTTGGTTCATGATTAGTATGGGAATTACATTCTATGTTTTATTTCTCTATTGTTTTATTAGTCCTTTAATTTGATTCTTTTTTGAGTTTAGTGGCACTATTCTGTATGCTTCTGTAATGGTGAATACATGACATTAAACATTTGTTAAAGCCCATATAATCTGTAACACAAAGGGCTAACTCTAATGTAAACTATAGACTTTGGTTGATAATGTGTCAATGTTGGTTCATTGATTATAACAACTATATCACACTGATATGGGATATTGATGGTGAGGGAGGGGTATGTGAAAACTATGTATTTTTGGTTCAATTTTGCTGTGAACATACACATGGGTATTTTAAAAAGTACGTACCTGGGACTTCCCTGGTGGCGCAGTGGTTAAGAATCTGCCTGCCAATGCAGGGGACATGGGTTCGAGCCCTGGTCCGGGAAGATCCCACATGTCACAGTGCAATTAAGCCTGTGTGCCACAACTACTGAGCCTGTGCTCTAGAGCCCGCGAGCCACAACTACTGAGCCTGAGTGTCAAAACTACTGAGCCCGCACGCCTAGAGCTGATGCTCCACAACAAGAGAAGCCACCGCAATGAGAAGCCTGCACACCGCAACAAAGAGTAGCCCCCGTTCGCTGCAACTAGAGAAAGCCCGTGTGCAGCAACGAAGACCTAACACAGCCAAAAATAGGTTAATTAATTAATCAATTAAAAAGTATGTACCTGTGGGAAGGGTGAAAACAACAAAGATGGTAAAGATGAAAAAAATGATAAAAACTATGTTTCAGATTCCTTAAAAAATTATATGTCTACCATTTGCCAACCACATTAAAAGAAAAGAAGAACAAAAACAAAGTCTTTCTACTCGAATTGAGCATGAACCAACACTGTAGAGAGATTTATAACTGAAGGCCACTGTCACTTCACCAGCCAACTGAGTGGCATTTCACATTGAAAAGCTAGAGAGTTGTGTCCACTTGGCATATGGTGGCAGGTATGTTCCAATCCAGTCTTTCTCTACATTGGGCTCTAAAAAACATTCCTTTACAGTCTATTGCAGTATTTAAATATGGTTTTAAGTTGTGCCAAAATATGTATCATCAACTGTGTTCTCCATTAGGTGTTGGGAAAGAGTAAAGTCATGATAATAAAGGCATTTGAACCATTGTTCATGCTTCTTGAGTAAACCCAGTCCCTACTTTACCAGCTCAGAACTGAGAAGCTGTGCTCTTTAAGGAATCAATGTGAGGAGTGCAACTCTCAATGCCACGTCTCTCATTTTTTCCTCCTCTTGGCTTTTTGCTACTAAAATCAATTAACTTTATACTAGAAAGAAAGCATCATTTTGTCTTATTCCAGGGGAATCCTCCCCCCGCCCAGTTAGTTTAATAGATATGCCATTGAACATTACGGAGAAAATGTCATGAAAGAACCACAACTGTGCTTGCCCCCATTTGACAAAGCTTCATCTCAGATGATTTACTAATGAGTCAGTTAAATCCAGCTTTTCAACAGTGCCATACTTCCTTTCAGAACTTTTCCTTTTTGGTTGCTTGTGTGAAACCCAGGCCCAGCAAATATACATCACAGTCCCCTTCCACCCACCCGGCATGGGTGGGTAGTGCCCTGAGCACTATTCACTATTATTTATAAAGTTAGTTGTTCTGAGTTAATACAGCAATATTTTTGTCTCAAATTTTACTTTACCAGGAATTTTTTTGGAGCTATTGATCCATGTGTGTGAAGAAGCAGATATAGTGCAATACAATGGTAACAACGAATGCAAATTCAATAAATATAAACTGCAACATATAAAGACCCTGAAGATACAGTTTAGTTGAGATAAACCGCTACCATCTTTTCCTTGATGTACAATGCGATTATGTCCTGATAAACTCAATGTAAGTTGAAAATATCCTAAATCGACAATGCATTCAATACACTTAACCTAGCCTACCTTAACAGCTTAGCCTAGTCTACCTTAAACACGCTCAGAACACGTACATTAGGCTACCATTGGGCAAACTCATCTAACACAAAGCCTATTTTATAATAAAGTGTAAAATATCTCATGTAATTTATTGAATACTGTATTGCAAATGAAAAACAGAATGGTTATATGGGTCCAGTATGGTTGTAAGTGTCGCGGTTGCTTACCCTCGTGATCCTGTGGCTGTCTGGGAGCTGTGGCCGCTGCCCTGCCCAGCATCATGAGGGAGGATCATACTGCCCATCGCTAGGCCAGGAAATATCAAAATTCAAAATCTGAACGTGGTTTCTACCGAATCTCTATTGCTTTTGCAGCATTGTAAAGCTGAAAAATCCTAAGTTGAACTATTGTAAGCTGGAGACAGTAGTGAGAAAGTAAAGGGATTCCTGTAAAAACCATGTTAATTAATTTCAATGTCATAATAATACTACATCTCAAATTGGTGAAATGTTAGTGGACCAAATTTTTTACCCTCTCAAATGACTAAATTGCCTATAGTCAATTAAAGGGACCATTCAGGGGAACACACTGTTCTTTGGGAACGAAGCAGAAGACCAGCCTGTGTGTGGTTCCTCAGAAAGGCCTCTGGCGGTGAACACAAGAGGTAGGCAGGATTCAGAACAGGATTCAGAACAATGACCAAAAAGAAACCACAGAATTTAAGGATAGAAGCAGAGATGGATTTATATGAAACTAAGTAAGCTTGAGTGAGTGTCCCTTTGAAGACCTTACACCTAATTTTGTGGGGGGTTTTCCTAAAGAGAATTCCAAATAGTATATAAGCCTGGGCTTGTAAAACCTGGACCTGCCCTGAGTGGAAGGTCCTTAGAAATCACTAAGATGGACTGTCTGATTTTGCAGATGAAGAAACTGAGGGTCAGAAAGGACAACTTGATGAGGTCAAAAAGTGGATGTCAATCATTAATTAAAAGTCAGCCTTCTTTGCACAGGGAACTCTACCTAATGCACTGTCATAACCTAAATGGGAGGGAAGTCCAGAAAGGAGGGTATATCTGTAAGTGTAAGGCTCATTCATTTTGTTGTGCAGTGGAGGCTAACACACTGTAAAGCAACAATACTCCAATAAAAATTAAAAAAAAAAAAAAAAAGTCAGCCTTCTTGTGTTCCCTGTAGAAAGGACTGCATTGTACTACTTACACTGCAATAACTACCCCAGCCAGGCCCATAGGTTCCTTCCCAGGGAAACTGCCCCACTCACAGCCTCTGCTGAAGGAGCAACCCCAGCCTCTTTCCGGAGGAGAAGTAGCTTTGTGGTTTACCCTGTGACCCTGCCCCTCACCCCCACCTCCAGGCCATCAACACAGGTGATTGGCCCTGGGGTTGACACCTGACCCAAGGGAGTCATTCCATCTGGGTCAATAACCTGGGAGGTCATCTGGTATAAAAAGCTCTGCTCAAACACAAAAGACTTTGATGAACTAGCCCAGTCAAATTCTCTCTCCTGGAAATCTGAACTGGGGAATATGGAAAGAGACAGGCAATTAGCAGTAGACCCAGAGAGTGGTTGTGCAGTCAGCTAGGAAGCTGTGAGCTCTGTCTGCTGAGGGAGAGATGAGATAAGCCAGTTTTCAAACTCCGAGGGACCCTCTGGTTCTAGAGTCTTTGAGGTGTAGTTGCATTGCTCTTCCTGAAAGCCCTGGCATGGTGGCTCCGGTGGCTGGTTTCTTTCCAGCTTGGTCCTCATAACCCCTAACCCCATGCTGACCACCACCCCTGGGAGAGCACCAGATCCTTGAGCAAAGTGCTGGTTCAGCAAATACTCAACTCCCATGTTTTTGAAAACCTTGATGGCAAAAAGTGAGAAATGACATTCAAAGTGAGGTCTGAATTCATCTTTGAGGAGAAATTGCTCCTTTGTCCTTGAGGAAAGCACTTTAGTAGGTCTTTGATTATTCAGAAGCAAGAACATATTCTGTAAAGGAAGCAGAAGGGAGAGAGAAGGAGCTAAAGTACTCTGCATTATAAAGTAATTGCTAATCTTCCTGGTGGGTGGATTACTTCTCTAACACAGCTTCCCCTTAAGCAAGTAAGCCTTTTCTCTGAGAACCTCAGCGGGAGGCAAGATGGGGCCCTGGCGCTCCCAAGTGGGAGAGTGAAGCTGTCTCTGTGACATGGGGTCCCACTGGGTCTGTCCTGGCGCTCCCAAGTGGGAGAGTGAAGCTATCTCTGTGACATGGGGTCCCGCCGGGTCTGGAGGAGAGGCATCCTCCTGAAGTGGACTCTGAAGGTACCTGGTGGATGAATTCCATCAGGAGTCACACATCTGCATTATAATTCCCTTCTGTTACAGGACGACAAGGGAGGACCTGCAGAAAGTGCCTGGCAGACTAGAGGCTGACAGCTGACTAAGGACACAAGCGTCAGCTACAGCAGATTGGAGGAACACAGCATTCCTATGGAATTCCCGAGGATGCTTGGGCTGGGACTCCTGGGAAAGTCCTGTACCTCCAGGAAAAATGGGAAAAGGGTTTGGAGCACCATTATTGGACTGTTAAAGTGAAGCGTGACCACTATATTTGGGAAGTGAATGAGACATCTGGGTTTCACATGGTTTCAAAGAACCTCATGAACATGGTAAGTAATTAAAATCACCATTTAGTGTCATCTATAACAACAAAGGAAGAGTTTTTAGGTATGAATAAATGCATGTATATATAAAGAATAGGTATATGCATATCCTTTTTTTTTTTTTAAGAAGCATCAGAGAATTGATTCAAACAAAATTAAACAATTAGGAAACATTAATTCACACCCTAGAGGTAAGATAGCCTCCAAAATTGGCTCTGGAAGTCCTAAAGGACTGAAATTCTTTCCAATTTCCTGTGTTACCATTCTCAGCCTATTACCTTTAAGGGTGCCAGTAGCTGGGGCACCCTTCATGGTCCCAAGAAGGCTGAGGCAGTTCCAGGGGCCACATCCAGACATGACAATATCCAGGTAAGCACAAGGAGTGGTCTTTTGTTTTTTGGCCACACCACACAGCTTGAGGGATTTTAGTTGCTCAGCCAGGGATTGAACCTTGGCCTTCGACAATGAAAGCAGAGTCCTAACCCCTGGACCGCCAGGGAATTCCCAGGAGTGATCTTTTTCTGAGTATCCTTCTTAGGAGCAAGGATATTTTTCACAGAAGCCTTCTTACCAACCTGATCAACTTCCTCTCACTAGCCAGAATTGGGTAAGCTACAAATTCTTAAAAACCATTTAGTGTCTGGGCTTCCCTGGTGGCATAGTGCTTGAGAGTCCACCTGCCAATGCAGGGGACACGGGTTCGTGCCCCGGTCCGGGAAGATCCCACATTCCGCGGAGCGGCTGGGCCCGTGAGCCATGGCCGCTGAGCCTGTGTGTCCGGAGCCTGTGCTCCGCAACAGGAGAGGCCACAACAGTGAGAGGCCTGCGTACCGCAAAAAAAAAACAACAACAACAAAAAAACCCATTTAGTGTCAAAGAGAGTGAAATTATCAAGACCGTCTTCAACCAGTGGTTCCCAAGCTTGTGCATACATCCTGGAGGAGCTTATTAAAACACAGGTTGCTGGGCCCCACCCCCAGAATTTCCGATTCAACGGGTCAGAGGTAGGACTCAAGAATTTGCATTTCTAACAAGTTCCTAGGTGATGCTGATACAGCTGTTTGGGGACCACACTTTGAGAACTACTGTCTTAAGACCAACCATTTGGAGTAAAATGGATGTTGGGGCATCAACCAAAAATGTCTGCCAAAAGAGATAACTTTGTCAGAAGAATATTTTGTATATTCTGGAATGAAATATTTCTAAGAATTTTCTTTTGAAAACTGAAGTTTCCGTAAGTTATGTATGTGACAAACAATACTGATTGTGGTCTACCACAAGCCAAAATATGGAAGTAGAACACAAGCTAATGGCCTATGGCAGAAAATGTGGTTTGAGCAAATGTCACCCATTGCCACAAACATCCACCCATCCTGCCCTGCACACTGTGCTACCCCACACCCCTTCCCTTGCATACTTCTATTCTCTTTTCCAAGGCTGAGCCTGTAGCAGTATCAACTGCCTACTTGCTGAATTGACACTGATCTCAGTTTTTCTCTTGGCAGAGGAGACAATACGAGCAAAGGAATGAGAATAAGAAACAGCTCATTGTTTGGAGGAAACTAAGCACCTTGATGTTTTTGCAGCATAAGATATGAGGCTGGAATTGGTGTGAGGTAAGGCCCTAGATTTGGACAAGAGCAAAACCACAGTGGGCTTTGTGGGATGTTGAGGAGCTTGAACTCAATACTATGGCCTCAGCAGCCACTGAGCAAAGACGTGATGTGGTTGGATTTGGTTTTGTTTAGATCACACTGGGTAGTGTAGAAGGCAGACGTGAAGGAGGGAGGCATGGTAAAAACTAGTAGTCCAGGAGAGCTCGAAGGAGAGCCAAAATGGTAGGCTTACAGAAAACACGGATCTGGGAAATATTTAGAAGGTCAAAATCTACAAATCTGGTGATCTGTTAGCCATAGAAAGTACATGAAAATGAGGCATTCAGATATTCCTTAGGTTTTTAACCTCAGTGAGAATAAAGAAGTGAGCTGTTATGGGTAAGGTGATGGGGTAGTGATACAGGGGAACAAGGAGATGAAATCAGTTTTAGATGCCCTGTATTTATGTTCTGGCCCATCTCCTCATGAACGTATAGATGCTCGACTGGTAGTTAGGCATATTAGGATGGGTTTGAGAGAGAGGGCTAGATGAGAGAGAAAGATATCAGAGTCACCTGGAGTTGAATCAGGAGCACAAATAGATCACCCAGGAAAATCATGAAGGTTAAAAAGAATATTTAGCCAAAAACAGGACCCTGGAAAGGCCAACATTAACATGGTAAGCAAAGGAGGAGAGAGCAATGAAAGAGAGCAAAGGGAGGAGGAAGGCTAGGGTATAGAGTTTCAGAAAGCCAAGGTCATAGCGTTTGAGGCAGGAAGGAGTAGTCAACATTGTAAAATACTGTAGAGAAGAGGGTCCTTAAGATAAGGCCTGAAAACTGTTTATAGGATTTGGAATGGGGAAGTCATAAGAGATTTCAGGAGAGCAGCTGGGCTGAATTACAAGGCAGTGAAAAAGTGGAGACTTTTGTTCTTGTTGTTGAGGGTTTTGATGGGAAGGGCATGGTAAGAAAGCAGATAGCACTCACTGAAGTAGGGGGCATGGTCATAAATTGAGGAGGGTTATGAAGGTTTGGGATAGTCAGGAGAGGAAACTGTTCTTTAGGTGTTCTGGGAGGGTTGGCACTGTACTTGGGGCTCTTTCATTTTTCAGAGCATTTTGGTAACCACAAACCCAGGAAATAATATATATTTTAAATGAGTGTGCCACTGGGTCTCAGGATTTGTGTAATGCTTAAAGGAATAGATATAGGTGCATGTGGCAGAGTGCATTTTGCAAAAATGGCCACAGTACTATTTCCAGTCACACATGGAAGAGGCTTTGTAACTAACTGCCTTAATGAATAGAAGGCAGAAGTGACGCTGTATGACTTCTAAGGCAAAAGGCAATGCAGCTTCCAGCTGGCTCTTTATCTGGGGATGCTACCATGCTGTGAGGAAGGCCCAAACCGCCCACTTGTCTGATGCTTGATGCTGGTTGCTGGCTGGGTTCTAAGGGCAAGCATCCTGAGAAAAAGAGCTAGTCCAAAGCTGCATTGTCCTTTGCCTTGGAAGTCACAAGGGTCATTTCTGACCCCTGTCTGAATTCCTGACCCACATAATCTGTGAGCATGATAAATGGATGTTTTATTCTACTAAGTTTTGGAGTAATTTACTCAGCCATAGTAACTGGAACAGCATCCAAATATCCAATCAAGTAAACATGACTATTAGGGAAGAACAAGATATCCTTGTATCCCAGACACAGTCATAAGACATATTGAAAGTTATTGTTCTGATTGCTCTTGAATACAAGATATTTTTATTCACTTCCCAGACTTCAGCTTAAATGTACCCTAAATGTCTATGTCCAAGCCACAACTTTATCCCTAAAGTGGCCTTTATTCAAATACTCTCCTAACTCTAATTTTTTTAAACTATTTCTGTATTTAGGATAATTAATATTTTATCACATCTAAATAGCTTCCCAGTGTGCTAGCCTATTTTCAAAAGTAATTTTTTGAGTCTCGATACTACCCTTTTCTACCCCTGAGCAATAATGTAGACACACACACACACCACACACACACACACACACACCACTTATTTTTAAAACAAGCCTTTCCAAATGTCACCAGGCATCAAGAAAGGTACAATACCTCTACCTCTGCCACAGAGGAAACCATAAAAAATACTGTGTTTATTCCAAGAAGCACAATTCTGAAATAATACAGGTCAAACTGTGAGGAATTATCTGTAAAGTTTCTAGAATGATAAATCATAAGTATTCTTCAATGTCTCTAATCCACAGAATCTTGAAATTGTTTTGCCTAAATAACAGAGCTAAAGTATTTTTCAGATCATTAAAGAGTAAAATAATTAAAATCCTCTTAGTAATTTCTAAGAAATAGTTACGCAACATCTAAGAAAGCACGTATACATAAAACTGTATTTTAGAACACTAATCATGGTTTCTGTTTAATTTCTATTTTCCATATTTTAGAGCTCAAATGCAGAAAATGGAGATAATAATTCTCTTTAGTTCTTGGGATATTATTTTTTTTCTGTTTTAGATTTTGAGCACATTGACAATTAAAGGGGGAAAAGTACAAGGTTTCCTTATTATCCCAAGAGTAAATACTAAGTATATCAACAGTGCACTCTTCTCTGCCCCACACCGACCTTGACATCACCAGAAACTTCCTGCCTCCAAAATCACCAATCAAATACCATCCTCTTTGATCACAGCTTCCCATCTTCAAGACTCACTTTCTCAGGAACACCCCAGTATAAGAGCTAATAGCCAGGGCTTCATTCTCATTGATGCCTCAGATCCACAGACCTCTGCCCTCACTTTCCTCTTTGTCTAGCTTGGATTGTATGGGCATCATCTCAAACACTCTTTGGCTACTTTGGCACTTCTTGTTTCTACTCATGTCAGAACTTCCTAGAGAACTCCAACCATGGGAGGAACCAACTATGAGCAGAACCGATCTCCTATCTTCTCCATGTCTGTGCCTGCAGCAACATGTGTGCTGCTGAAGAAAAATCAACCACTGGGGCAGAGAGGTATTATCTTGTAACTGCATGAGTAACAATATAGGTATCTTACGCGGTGCCTGTGTGTGAATTAGAACAAGACATCCCTTCCTCAAGACACTTGGCTTCTCTGTCAGAAAGCTGTGGTGGTATCTTGATTTTGCAAGAACAAGGTAATTTACTGGCATCTGCCAGAAACTTGCCATAACAAATATATAAATCTATGATGTTTATGATGTGAACAGTTCCCCTCTGAGGTATGGCAACCTTGTGCAATGCCTGCACAGCTGTACACAGTGGCCCTGATGACTACCCTCATTCAGGCACTCATGCCAGTAAATGTTTCTTTAGTGAAATATATCATGCCTTTGCCTGTCTTCTTAAACCCAACTCTTTTTTTTCCCCTTTATTCTCAGGGGATATCTATTCCTGATACTTCAAGGAAACTGGAGCTACCATATGGGAACTCCCTAATTTTCCTATTATCATATCCACAATCTTTCCATCATTTACACCCACCCTTTCCCTCTTTCATCTTCCTACCAAGACCAGTCCCTTTGTGTGGGCTCTGTATTCCAATCCTGTCGATTCTTTCATGGAATATGTCATGATTTTAAATTCCATATTCCTCTATATGAAATAGTTACTGCATGCCTATCTCCCTATTAGATCCACCCCCAGGGCAGGGATCAGGTCTGTGTGGCTCAGCACTGGATCCCTAGGGCTGTGTACAGAGTAGGGGCTCAAAAGATTTGCCGAATGGGCGAATGCTAACACCTAGAGGCACCTGCTAACTGAAGTATTGCTCTTCCTCTTTCATTACAATGGATTGAATGACAGTATTAATGTAAGCTTGTGAAGAGTAAGGCAAGCCAGCTTGTCCAATTTATGTAAAATAGTACCATGTCATGAGATGGCCAGATAGCCAGGAAATGCCTTGGGGGAATGTTACATGTTGATATCTACACGTTTATACCTATTACTTACATAAATCTATGATTTGTTTTTCTTGAAATTGCTGTCTCTTATTAAGCTGTGCGCCCTCAAGGTTGCCTAGCATCAGTGTGGGAGGAAACTGACACATGTTTGGAGAATGAGTTACACCAAGTGGAGGATGAAAACTTCTAAAGCAGAGCACAAAGAAACCGGGGGATTATTTTGCAACAATGAGGAAGGTGCTGTAAGGTGCTGACTTGGAGGAGAGCTGCTGGATTAAAGTATCCTGCAGAAGTACAGCGCAAACCTAGCCCATGACTTCCAACCGAGGTTTAGTGGTGGAAAGACAGGCAGGAAAAATCTTAGAAGCAGACACACTGCTGGTTTTGAGCATGCATGTGTTGCGTGTGTGCTCTTACACACAGACACACGACACACAGAGACACACACAAACACACACACCATCTCTCCAAAACATGGCAGTATCTCTAGCTTTCCTGTATGAGGGTAGTCATTATAATGCTTGTTTTTTCTTGTTATCTTCCCTAAACGTAAGCAGAGCCTTAGTATCCAGCAGTAACTTCAAGCTTATTTCCTGCTGTCTTCCGGCCAGAAAGCTTGGCTGGTATGACTGGTCTCGAAACCAGCTCTCTACTAAGTCAAGCTCGGGCTGAAAGGGACACTAGATTTGGAGTCAGCAGGAAGGTAGGTCTATGCCCAGTTGTGTCAGGCTCTCTGATGTGACCACGTGTGAACCAAACTCTGGAAATCTCTGCTTCCCTCCTTACAATGCCTCTCTCATAGCACACAGGCTGTGACTTAAAAAGTGGAAGATGAAGAAAATGGAATGCTCAGAGTGTGAGCAGTTATTATTAGAGATTCTTCCTGCATCTGGCTTATGCAATTTTAACTATGATAGAAATACATTTAGTTTAGAATAAAGTGGCAAGTTCTTCCAAATTAGATGGAACTTCATGTCCCCATGAAGTTCTGGGACGATAGAAATCTAGGGAAATGCCGTACATGGACTCTACTACTCATCTGAACACTAAGCCATCACACATATTCTCTCTCTCTGATGAGTGTATGTCTTATCTCCCCAACTAAACTGTATAACTGTTCCAACAGGGTCACTCAATAATTGGTCAGTGAAATCACAGAAGGAAGATCAAAGAATGAAAAGTAAGCCTAGAGTTTCTGCTGACATATAGTCAGTTGATTTATCTTTGAAGTGAGTGCTTTCTTTGTAAGTGTAACTTTTTGCTCCAGAATCAAAGCGAAATGGTAAAAAAAAACCACAAATATTGCCACAGAGAAGGGAAACATCTAGGCACCCATGCTGAAATGAATCTTAAAACATCTCCTTTTAAAAACCTGATTCCTTCCTTGAATCAACATTCCCATTAATTCTGTAGCTTCTGTTCTTCATAGAATGGTCAGTCTGTCCCTCTGGGAGACTTTTTCTAGGAGATTGGTGGGAAGGGTACCAGAATTCTGACCAGTGTTTCAAGGAAAAACTCTGCCTTTAGAGAGGGAAGGCCATATGACGTGAAAAGGACAAGGTAGGGCTTGCTGGTCTGATTCACAGGAAGACGATGAGTAACAGCAATGTTGTCAAGTGCTTTTGAGAAAAAGAATTATTCTCTAAATGACAAGGGATTCTCAACTAATGCACAAACAGGTATATAAAAATGCTTGACAGAATACATGAAAAAGGAACATGATTTCTAATTGAAGCAGAGGTTGGAAAAAAACAGTAAAGGATACCAATTGGAGTCACAAATCTAACACAAGTTCCTCATAGGGTGTACTGGGCCCGATCTAGAGGAAACATGCACATCTCATTATTAAGTGGAAACGATGCAGCCAGATAAGGTTAATGGAGTACTTACCTCTTCGGCTTAAATGTTAAACGCTTTCCAGATCTCTTCACTAGAAAAACTGCAACTCTCATGTGGACAGATACACACTTAGATCTAAAGGGGACACAGCAAGATCATCCATTGGCTCCCACATCTAAAACATCCAAACACGTCTACCTCTTACGGCTTTAAAATCTACAGAAAGGGGGGATGCTTCTCAGCTCCCTTAGGACTCTCCCTGCACGAATAATTTCTTCAGGATCTTTATCACCAAGTAGTGCTGCAACCTGGTCTGATAATACAGCCTGAAGAGCTTCAGTTTTACTCTGAGCGAGTGGGCCAGCACTGGGTAGACAAAGTGGGCACAGTCATGGAGAACACAGAGGGTTGGGAGACTAACAGATAACCACAGTAGATCCTTAAGCAGAGACGCAGCATGACAAGACCGCTGTTCAGAGAAGCTATAATTTCGGTTCAGTGTGTGTGTGTGTGTGTGTGTGTGAGAGAGAGAGAGAGACAGACAGACAGACAGACAGACAGACAGATAGACAGACACATCTGTTAGGAGATCTTTCATTAAAGCCCCAGGTGATGAAAGTCCAAGACTGGGTGGCCACAACGAGAAGCAAGAGGAAGGGATCAATGCAAGGAGACTTTTGACGGGATTCTAAGCAGGATATGATGGCTGACAGGACAAAGGGGATGACACTTGGGAATGAGTCAGGTTTTGAGTTTGGGGCCTAGAAGACTCTGGTAGGGCCAGTCAACAAATGTGGTAAGTTGTAAAAAAATAAAAAACAAAAGGCCTGTCTGGGGAGGAGACTGGAAGTCGAGAGCCGGCAATGTCATGTTGAGTAGTTGGGACACTGTAGTGTGGCCTGTGAGGAGACCTGAGTGTTTCCCCGAAGTTCTCATATATCTTAAGTGAGAAATCAGGCTTCAACAGAGAGAGATCTTGCAGTCCACACTGAGATTGTGGAACTGAAGTCATGAGAGCTGGTCAGGTTGCTTAAAGAATGTGAGCAGGGTGAACAGAGGACCTGATGAAGATTTTGAGGAATTGCCCTGTTAGTCAGTTCGAGACAGAAAAGGCACCAGTCAGCGGGATGAGGGAAGGAGAAAGGAAATGTACCAGAAGAAGCAGAAGAGTGAATAGCTGAGAAGTTAATCATTTCTCCTCTATTTCCGAGACTTTGGGTGTAGTTCCCTGCACTGGTTTGAATCATGTGTGTGTCCACTTTTCTTCCTGACTGTCTGGAAACCTCTTCAGGGTAGGGACCCTGCAACCCTACTCTGTCCCTTCAGTGTCTATCTGATACACCTCCTCAATAGAGAAGCAGCTACAGAGAAAGCCAAGTGTCAGGGGAACAGGTGGAAAGGTAGTAACACTGCTTATTTTGTGTGTGCTTGATTCCCTGGCAACAAGAAAGCAAACAGTGATGAGCTATCGCTTCATATCTACAAGTCCTGCTCTGGACTTCCTCCCCCCTGATCCAGTCTCCCCGATCCTCCCTCCTTTACAAACTCTTCTACCCTGTCCTCTGCTGTTCTAGTCAAGGCAGAAAGAACTCCTTCCCATCTCCTTACCTCTTAATGTTTTAAGGGGAGGCACACAAAAACATCTCATTACAGATTCAGGCTGTATCCTACCCCAAAAGGTAAAGTAGGGTTTTTAATACTGGCCGTTTCACAGAATTGTTGAGAAGCCTAGTAAAGTAATGCATGCAAAATTTCTTGGCCCAGGGCCTGGCCCAGGATGTGTTAACCATCGCTCCCCTCACAGCTCATCTTGCATATCTAGCACCGAGCACATAGTCATGGCTCAAAAAACAAACGAATAGTTTAAGCTCAGTTATATAAAGCCGCCATCACTCATCACAAAGGCCTCATGTTTGGGTGACTGTAAACCACCCATACACATTCAAAAACAAGCTCTTCCTAACTACAGATTTCTCTTTTATAAAGAAGATACATGCTTTTATTTGCAGTCTGAAACAGATATTCAGTGTTTTGACAAAAATGTTAGAAAACTGGAATGAAGTAGAAATAAGGTTAGAAATATTTTAATCCAATCTGAACCTCCCACCATACTCTGTAGATAAAAATAAATTAAGAAAGCAGGGCAAGTGAAAAGGATTTGCTAAATATTTGAGATAAAGCACAGTGTCGTGTTTGGAGGTGACATGGAGGTAAGTCTCTTTAACGTCTTTGAGAGCCTTTAGCATATCTGAAGGAAAGAAAAATACATCAGAACAAGTACAAAATACTACATTAGAACCATTACAAAGGAGCATATTAACCTAAAAGTGAATTCCTGGAAGTTCTGGGTTTTAAGCCAGGCTTAGGGAAGGGAGTGGCCATAAATTGACAGGAAGGAAGTCAAGGAAGAGACTTCCTCTTTGGATGATACAACCAGGAAGGGCAGGGAAGTAGGATGCTGCACTTGCCACATGAAGGTTGGTAAATACAAAAGGGGTTTTGAGGAGAATCAGAGAGATGAAACTGACGAGGCATAACGTAAAAGGTTCTGAAAGAACACATGGATACAGGAAACTGGATTTAATACAGTTGTCTACTTAAGGCCATTTTAGATTCTTGGACGTAATGCAAGAGTTTCACGAAGATTTAAGCCACAGTTGGGAATACTGGTTGAGTTTCAGCTGGAGATGCTGGTCCCCTCTGCTATGTGTCCAGTTAACCAGTATACCTTCATGGTTTGTCACGCTTTTCTCCTTTCTCACTGTTAATTGTTATTTTTCAGGAAACCTGCTGATAGCATTGGCTTCTACTTTTGTAACTGCAGATTTCTTCTGGACTAAAGTGCAGTGTTTCATGTCTGATTTCTTTTTATCACTGTTCCTTTCTATCAATGCAAAAAATCACAAATTTCCTTCACTTTCATGGTCAGTGAGTATAGTGGATGAAAGCCTACATAGCGTATGTTCCAGTTGTGGGAAATTAATCTTTTTGGAAATAGTCAGTGTGCTTTTCTGTTTGCCTGTCCATGTACCTGACCTTCTCCATTGTCAGCCTGGGGCACAGATCTGCCTGGGATCTGTGGGAGGCTGTTCATTTGGACTGTTACCAGAGAAATACAGAGAGAAAGTGGTACTTTCCAGCTCCTGACAGACCAAATGAGGTTTTCAAGTCTGCAGCAAGATAACAAGTTTGAAATTCACTTTGCTAGGCAATAAAGCACTACACAGTTTTTCTCTCCCACTTTAGTAGGTGCACTTGATCATATTTTTCTTGTGGTTGGAAGGGAGAAAGCCTGCCCATCCTCTCTGGCTGGGCGGTCCATCAGGGAAGTGTGCAGTGACACAGGGGGCCCAACTTTGTTCCAGGGAGGGAAAGCACTGAGGGAAAAACTAAAGGTAGAATGTGGTCTGCCCCACCACCTGCTTGGGAATTTGCAAGACGGTTACCTCTCAAGCCTGTCTGTAATCTAAATAAGGTCAGCTGCATCAAAGTAAAGCAATGAATGCAGTTGACAATGGAGGGCTAAATTCAGCTCCCTAGTATCTCCCTGGGCTCTCAGGGTGTGGAAAAGAAGAAATCCAGAGGATCTCACATGCCCTGTGGAAGGAAAAGGAAGGTGGTTAAGGGAGCTGATTAGCGTTCTTTCCGGGGAGTGTTCTTGGCTCCAACGGGGGCCAAACTGGAGCCTAACGTAGTCTGAGTTGCCATTAGCGTGATTCATCAGGGGAAGGTGGCTAAGGCTCCTGGAACGTTGCCAGAGCAGAGGAAAGAGACCAGGCGTTAACCCAGCCACGGGCTTCAAGGACACCATCTCCCTTGGCCCCTCCAGGACACAGTCAGCCAATGCCCTCCAGGGCAGGATAAGGGGAGGGGGTGAACTTCTAAAAGAGCATCCCAAAAGGGACTATTTCAACCAGTGCTAACAGGAAGCAGAATTTTGAACGGACTCAACATTTAAACTGAAGCAAGAGAGGCTATTTAACCTCATTTAACTGACAAGTCCAGAAGTCCCCACCACACATGCTCAGAAAGAAGCTGCTTTGGGTCTAGAAAATAAGATGTATGGATACATGTGACAACCCCTTCCTGCCTGGCCTTGCCACATTCAGTGTGACAATGAGGAAGTTACTTAACCTCCTTAAACTTCAGAATCCTCATCCACGAAGAGGGGATCATAGTATCTACCCTCTAGAGAATTCTGGTGAGCATATTCATATAAAATACTTAGAATAGTAGCTGGCACAAGATAAACGTTTAATAATATATTTGCTAATTTTGTCATCATTTCTACCGATACATTCAACTTCAAAGTTTCTGTTGTCCTATTCAAGAGTGTCTGCACGTCTGTCAAGAAATGTCAAAGCACTCTGTTCCTGAAGTTCTTCATTTTTGATTTCACAGCCTCTAACGCATCCCCACAAGCACAGGATGTCATTCTGGGACAAACGAGAAATTCTGTTTTCACACCATCCGTGACTCTTTCTCAACATCTTGGTACTCACTGCAGGAAGTAACTCAAAGCCAGGACGTCATTGCTCATGAACCATGTTAGCTGTAACAAACCACAGAGGCAAACGACGGCAGTGTTGCAGGACCCGGTGCCGGACACTTCTCTGTCTCAGGCTGATCTAGTCCTAAGAGGACAGACCAGCTACAGGCAATAGTCAAGCCACGTGAGCGAGGAAGGATGCAGAGGGGGAGGATTTATTTGTGATGCTGCAGGCTTTTTTTTTTTTTTTTTTTTTTTTAACGTGCATATCGGGACACTAACAGTGCCAGATTGCTCCTGGAAAATTCCCTGTATTTAACGTGTGTAAATTAATTCTCGGAACTGTTTGCTACATGCTCGCAAAGCAGCATGATCCTGAGTAATCAACTCTAGATATTAACTAACCTGAGGCTCCGTCCCAGCTCTTTCAGTTTTCTGAGTCAACCAGAAGAGCATTAAGGAAAGTTTAGTTGAAACCGGAGAGAGATTTAATTAGCAAGGTTAATATTTTTTTCTTCTTAATTTTTATTTATTTATTTATGGCTGCGTTGGGTCTTTGTTGCTGTGTGCGGGCTTTCATTGTGGCGGCTTCTCTTGTCACAGACCACAGGCCCTAGGCACGTGGGCTTCGGTAGTTGTGGCCCACGGGCTCCAGAGCGCAGGCTCAGTAGTTGTGGCGCACGGGCCTAGGTGCTCCGTGGCATGTGGGATCTTCCCGGACCAGGGCCCGAACCCGTGTCCCCTGCATTGGCAGGCGGACTCTCAACCACTGCGCCACCAGGGAAGCCCAGCAAGGTTAATACTGATTGTAGATGAGCAAAGTAAGTGTATTTGAGTGTCTGTGATATACAAATCTCTAGGCTCTAGGGTTTAAGCAAACATTTATGATGAGTACCAAAAAGCACCATAATGCTTAGGATAGTAGAATTTGGGGGGTTTCATTTAAGTGACTTTTCCATATAATTCAACTTTATTTTTTAAAACAACTTTAAAAATAAGAAATCTTCATACATTCGACACCTGTCTTCAGGGATATCTTGTCTTGTTAAACAGAGCAAAATCACCTTTTTTGATGGGTCACTCATCATTGCAGCATCAGTTATTCCACAGTGGTGTGCTGGGAAAATATGTCTCAAGGTGTGATCCATGGACCCCAGGCAAGGAAATCACCTTGGAAGCTCATTAAAAATCAGACTCAGGACTTCCCTGGTGGCTCAGTGGTTAAGAGTCTGCCTGCCAATGTAGAGGACATGGGTTCGATCCCTGGTCCAGGAAGGTCCCACATGCTGCGGAGCAACAAAGCCCATGTGCCACAACCACTGAGCCTGAGCTCTAGAGCCCGCAAGCCACAACTACTGAGCCCGTGCACCACAACTACTGAAGCCTGTGCGCCTACAGCCTGTGCTCCACGACAAGAGAAGCCACCGCAATGAGAAGCCCGCACACCGCAAGGAAGATTATCCCCCGCTCACTGCAACTAGAGAAAGCCCGCGTGCAGCAACGAAGACCCAACGCAGCCAAAAAAAATCAGACTCTTGGGTCCCACTTCCAGCTTCCTGAATCAGAATCCCTAGGTGGGACCCAGGATTCTCCATGTCCAATTCACTTCTCAGAGGATTCTTATACACAACACAGGCCAGAGAGGCCCTAACTCAGGGTTAGTTGGGTACGTAGGAAAATGTCCTTTACTGAAAATGTGGCAGGAGGCCACCTATTTTTCTGTGCCTATTTGTTGTAGCGTCTCTGTTACTCTTCTCTTATGAGTACTAATTTTTCTGTAGTGTACTGGCTTTAAACCTACAAGCTGATACACGGGATCCTTGGCTGGCTGCTGGCCTTTGTGATGTCAGCTTTCCATCCTTGAGCCTTATACCACGTGTTCAGGCTTGGGGGCTCTAGAAAGTATACTGCTGTGGGATTCAGGCGCCTGGCCCCAAGGAACCCATGTGGAGACACCAGCCATTTTACTGAAAATTGCACTCACAGGATAAGACGAAACGGGAGAAACGCTAAAAGCCAAACACAGAACATGACTAGATGTTCAGAAGGCAGAAAGATTGATGGGCTGCCTTGGTGAGAAGTAAAAAAAAATCTGAACAACTCCTTAAGGGTACTGGTAAAAATGAGCCCTTGGGATCAGAGAAAATGAGAACAGAAGATGTGGAACGTGCTGGAAGAGGTAGCTGCTACTTTAATGTGAGGCTGGGTCTCTTCCACCACAGAAACATTTTCTCCCACAGCGACTAAGCACTACATAGGGATCCATTTATCGGATTTGGGAGGAACTCAAGGCAGAGGTGGTGGGAAGATCACTGACTGTGGAGTCAGAGGACTTGGGTCGAATACTGACTCACATATGTGGCTACGGGCAAGTCAGTCAGACCCATGGCGCCTCAGTGGTCTTAGCTGTGAAACAGGACAAAGAATCCATGCCCTCACTGAAGAGTTGTGTAGCTCCAATGAAGTAATGAATATGAAACAGCTTTGTAAACTGAAGACACCTTACAAATATTTAATCAGAAATATCCTGCACTGTATACATATTTAAGTTGCGGCTACATCTTATCTGTAAGACAGAATGCTAAGAAAAACCCTAGGCTGGGAAAAAATTCAAATATGTTAATTATCTTAACATAAATAAACCTATCATATTGTCCAATATGGAGCTTAAATATCTGCTGTGCTTTTGTATCATGAAAACGATAGCTTTAAACAAGAAATGAACAGTACTTTGACTTTTGCACAACTCATATTTAACATTCTCTTGAAATTGGTTGTTCTCATTTTCTTGATTGAAGAATAAGTGAAAAAGTCAATCAAGTCTTCATTTCATTTTCAAAACCCTCTTTCCTAACATCAATTTCTTAATGTCTACTTTACTTACATGATTTATTAGCTGAAATTGCAAAATGGTGGGGGAAATGGGAACATGCCAGGGAGAGAAGAGTGACAAGTAGGTCGATACAGTATACAAGAGGTTTGCCCAAACCTAAAATACACTACGGATGGGAAAGAGGGAGGCTAACTTAGGAAACCTAACCCTTGTCTGGCTTCACATCACTACTTTTAGTTGTTATCTTTTCATTATAAAGTGGAAGATGTGCAAACATTTTTTTAAGGCAAAGCTAGTTCTTTCAGCAGAGAATTAAAATTAAAAGCAGACGGAGGCCCGGATAATAAGTAGCAATAAATGCTTTTGCTGACATAGCTTCAATTTACAAATCACTGGCTTTTCCTGGCAGTGCTTGGGGAAGGAGGGTGAGGAAGTATCGCCTACACAGCCTGGATGAGGAAGATATGGAAAGCTTTAAAATTAAAGATGTGTTTCAACTTCTTATTCTAAAACACTTGATTTATGGTGACCATGATAAA